GACTCTTTGGTCTTTCCCAATACATTGTAACCTCTCAGTTCTGGTATTATCTTGTCATTATTTGCACCTTTGCCAAGGTCTCCAATTCCTTGCATTAACATTGTATCAATTATGATTGAGGCCATTTGGCTCTTCAGGTCTGTACCAGCTTTTAAGAGTGATCCATAAATTTAGACTCACATGCCTGCTCTTTTCCATTGCCCTGTAATTTCATTTCAAATATTTATAAAATCCTCTTTTGAAAGATACTTTTGAGTCTCTGCCCTCCTGAAGTCTGTTGTAAACCTCTTCACTGTTTATTAATGAGAAGTTTTTTTTGCAAACTTTGATATTATGCCCTGCATTTCCAAGTCCAAGTTATTAATATATATTAAAAAGAGCAATGGTCTTATCCACAGCCAACACCACTGAAAACTACCATTCAGAACTTTTCAAAATTTCAAACAATATGAAAAGACGGAATACTAAGACTTAAGAATTTATCAAACAGACACCAAGACTTCTCACAATTATCAGAGTTCAGTCTAACCAAGGTCCTATAGTAGTTTACTATGATTTAGCAACTTCTCAATTCTAATCATCTAGAAATAAATCTTTTTGAAAAAAATCTATATTGCTGTTTTCAGGACTTTTTAAATCCATAATAAGCAATTTATGATCATAAATACTGTTTAAATAAATTAAGTAGTTGTTTATTAATGTAACCAATTAAACAGAACCAAGAATGGCAATCCCTTAATTTTTTATCATGGTCCCAGCCCGAGAGGGGGTTAAAACCATAACTTGGAGTCAAATGTGCTTTCATAAAACTAGCAGGATTTTGGATCATTGTGCAAACTGCCTTCTCACTGCATTAAAATACAATGAGGCACAAATTTGGCCTATTAATTTTGTAACAAACACAATGCACCACAAAAGCCCACTCAGAATTACAATGATAATGTCCCTACATGTGGACCATGCGGCCTGGGTTCAAGTCCCACCTGCCCCAGAGGTGATTCACAACATCTCTGAACGGGTTGGTTACATAATAACCACACTGCCATTCAGCATAAACCTGAATAAGGCCAGAGGCTGAACAGCTCTAGAAAAATTTTGCAAGATTGAGGTAAAGGAAAACTTCACAAGACTGCCTCACGGACGGCTAATAAAAACAATTGAATAAGTTGAGAATCATTGCAAACTAAAAAACCACAAATTTTCAGTGCTGGTCAACATGGAAGAGGCTGCGTTTTTCTGAAATTAAAATGAAAGTTCAAAAGTTAACTTGCTTGTTCTACGTTACACTTTGGACTGTGTCACATGCACACTTGAACTTTAAACTGTCTCTTGCTAGTGGTTAGAATAACTTTTTATTGACCATTGGCAATGAATCTCATTATCATGCTGCAAATAAACAAAATAGCTATACTGCATGGGAGCTTTGGATCATCCTTGAAGCTTTTCAAGTATAGCAAAACCCAATAGAAAATTACTACTATGTTGTATCATGAACGCAAATTGGCTTCTGGTCATACATTTAGCTACACAAGTCATTTTACTTGAAATGATTGCCTAGTCAAACAAATTAAATCTGTAAACCCCTAAATATAGATAATAAATTAGATAATTTAAAATGATATTATCTCCTACACCTTGAAACAGATTAGGCAGCACGGCGGCTCAGTGGTTAGTGCTGTTGCCTCACTGGGACCCAGGTACAATTCCAGTTTGCATGTTCTCCCCCTGTCTGCATGGGTTTCCTTCGGGCGCTCAGGTTTCCTCCCACAATCCAAAGATGTGCAGTTAGGTGGTTAGGCCATGCTAAATTGCCCATTGCGTCCGATGATGTGCAGGCTAGGTGGATTTGCCATGGAAAATGCAGGCTAGGGTAGGGGAAAAGAGTCAGGATGGGATGCTGTTCGAATGGTTAATGTAGACTCAGTGGGCCACATTGATTATGCCAGATTTTAAATTTCATAAAGAATACTTAATTACTAAAAACAATAACGTACTGAATGAAGTGGAGGATTTTTCTCAGCTGCAAAAGGATCCCACAAACATAATAATTAAATTAAGCCATTAAAAAAAAGGCAAGATAAAATGGGGAATCCTTACGATTCTTGCCCCAAAAAGCTGAGAGAAATTTCCTGGAAATGAATTCTTACAACTGCAAAAGCATACAAGCTCATTCTTTTAAGATTTGGCCAGCTTAATAAAAAAAAAAGGTTTAATAATCACATAACTGCACCAAAATTGTTCAACTATGATATAAAGCAATTCTCAGTCTTCACATTTTTATAAGGATGCAGTGCTGCAAAGTGGTGCAGTAGTAGTGAGTGCCCTTACCTCTAGACCAGAAAACTTGGATTCAGCTCCCATCTGGTCCAAAGTTGTGTCATAATATCTCTGAACAGGTCCATTTTGCCTATACCAGAGCTTTGAGCCCTCTTATGGTGCAGCGCATCAGGAGGCCTGGGTTGAAGTCCCTTCTGCTCCAGAGGCATGTAATAACATCTCTGAACAGATTGATTACAAAATTTTAATTCAGACATGCTTCTGGCTCATCTGCCAGTCTGTTCTGTACTATCTGCAGTGAACAGTTCCTTCTTTGAATGTATACAAGCCCTGCAAAGGAACTAGGATGACTGCAACAGCATATCATAATCCATATTTTTATTGCACCTTTAAGGGCAACTTGATGCAAAGATGACAAAGGTCTTCTTCCTTACTCATTCGATGGATGTGGACATTGTTAGCAAGGCCAGCATTTTTACACATTACACACTGGGCAAGAACAGCAGATTTTCTTCTCTTAAAACATCAGGTTTTAATAACAATCTGACAATTGCAAGAAAAATGGTGAGCGAGTCAGTAATGACATTTTTGAAGAAAGTAACTGATATTGATATTAATATGATATTACTGACAAGGGTGGAGGATGGGTGTTTGAAGTAGTTAGTCATGAATAGAAGAGATGTCATAGATTGCCCTTGCCGGTCCCTCCTCACTCCAGACCAACAGTCACTTTACCTCTGTTGTTTATTATCTTGGCTCATTTTTCAACCAAGCTGTAACAAGGTCAGGAACCAAATGTTCCAAGTAGAACCCAAACCAAGCAAATTGCCACTTGCTTGGCAATAACCTATGACGATTTCCATCATGGTGCTGATGATCAGAGGACTAACTCGGGTGGTAACCAGCCAGGTTGCTTTTTGTGTGCAAGACAAACCTGGCTGATATTCTACATTATCAGGTAGATGCCAATATTGTAGCTGTACTGGAAATGTCAGTATACGGGTGCAGCTAGTTCTGGAACATAAGTCTTCGGTGCTATTGCTGGAATATTACTGGGGCTCATAATTTTTAGTGTATCCAGTGCCGTTAGCAGTTTTATTTTAGGGAAGATGGTGATATAGTGTTAATGTCGCTGGTCTAATAAGCCAAAAGCCCAGACCAACGTTCCAGACATGGGATTAAATCCCATCATGGCAGCTTGTTGAATTAAAATTCAATGAACAAATTTGGAATATAAAGCTAGTCTTAGTAAGGCAACGACTAGACTAGAACAGACTGTGATAACATGCATCTGGTTCACCAAATTTAGAGAAGGAAATCTAATCATATTTAGTTGCTTTGGCCTACATATGACTCTAGACTAGACTCTTAACTACCCTCTGAAATTGCTGAACAAGCCATTCAGTTTAAAGGCAAACAAGAATGGGCCACAAATGTTGACTTCGAAATGTCCACAAGCTATGAAAGATTAAAAAGAAATTTTCTTGATGTCAGATTGAATGAATCAAATTGTTTGAAGACTGTAATTCTGGGGACCTCAGAAAGAAGAGAGATGCATTTGGACCAGCTTTCTCTTTTGCACTGATGTGCTAGGTTCCTTCATCAATAAGGACAGGGATGTGTGTGAAGACTTCTCCCATTATTTGTTGAAATGTCCACTACCGTTTAGAACCATTTGTGGCAGAAATGGAGAGCTTAAATCGGATGTGTTGATTGTGGGACTGCTCAATTCTGTTCATTGCAAATGACTTCCACTGTTTGGAGTGCAAGGAGTGCTATGTTGCAGCTTCACCCCACTGACTCCTCATTTTTATGTACATCTGCTGCTGTGACAGACATTTGTATCTGTGAATGGCAGACTGGTGAGGACAGGACCGAGCACTTTTCTCATTTTTGTTATTTCCCTTACAATCTGCCACAGATGCATTCCAGAAGTAATGCCCTTTACACGGTGGGACAGACCTCCTAATTTTGGCATAAAAGCTACTGCAAAATGGGAATTCATTAGTGACAGTAGGGCTAGATTTTCTGTTTTAGTTTCCAGTGCCTAGGTCAATGCCAAGTAGCCTGCACTGTTTCATTCACTACCTTAGATAGTATAGTGGTTTGATACAACTTTGTGGCTATCAGGACCATGTCAGAAGAGCTAGTCAGTCAATCACATTTTGGTGGTTCTGGAGTCACATGCAAGCCTGACCAAACAAAGATAGCAGGTTTCCTTCAAATAAATTGACAACAGTTACACAGTTGTCATTAGACTAAGTTTCAATTCCAGATATCACTGGATTTAAATTTCAACATCTACTGTGGTGGGATTCAAGTCTGTGCTTCTTGCATTACTAGTCCAGTGATACTACCACTACACCATTGCCACCCCCTTGTGTGCAGCTAGTATAGTATTTTTATAATATTGAACTTGAGAAGCATTTTCACTATCTCAGCAGGATTTTAAATCACCTTTGAAATTCAAAATTAAAGTCAAATTAGATGAATCTTTCGATTTTAAATCTTTAAGTTGTACAATTTGTAGCAAGTTATTCAGTTCAAAATAAGTATGTGCAGCACAGACATAAATGAGTCAAAGAATAAAATACTTCCATGTATCATTTCCAATGAAAAGCCACGGCTTCAAACAGTTACAGTAGATATTAACATCCAGAAGTAACATTTTTATCAATGGAGATAATAGAGGATGCAATATTGTAATAAAATATTATACTTACCCACCAAGAAAACACAGGATATAGAACGCAAAGTAAAATATAGCAAAAGGTCCAAAAGTGACTACAAAAAGAATGACGCCAAGGCCTCCCCATCCCCATATGGAAACACCAGCCTGAAACAACAACAAAATAAGCATGTGTGAGGAAAGAGAACATAAAGGTATTGTTTACTACATTTGATAAAAACTAGAGTAACTTACAGCATGTATAACCTAACAGTAAATCACAACCCACCTGTGTAAAGTAAAACCAATGGGCTCAAAAGTTTAATCAGGCATGAATGCAGACACACTTTAAAACTAGAGAATAAAATTTTCTTAATAATTTGCACCACCTCCAATTACATGCTCTGGGCCATCATGCAATGCATGTAAAGACATCTTGACAGTATAGGCACTTGAGTGGGGTGGGGAAATTCAATGAATTCCTTGATATATCATGCATCATGTCAAAGCACTGCATAATTCAAGTTCTCAAGATTTAGGTTTACTGTAAATCAATTTCCACAAGTAGCTTACATGACCCACAAACTTGGTTGCCAAGCAGTAGGACAAAGCCCTTAGAGTCTGCTCTGTCATTCAATAAAATTATGACGATCTGATTACTGGACAATCCTACCTCCCCCTATTACCTTCCATCCTATTACTTATCAAGAAACTCTGTTCCACAGGTGGTGGAATCAGAGTTCCAAAGTCTGAGAAAAAGAAAGCTCCCTACACCACGAATTCCTACTTTGCACATTAATATTTTGTGTGTGTTTTTTCCCAATTCATTTGTGGGATGTGGGCGTCACTGGTTGGACAGCATTTCTTGCCCATCCCCAGTTGCCCTTGAGAAGGTGGTGGTGAGCAGGTTTTTGAACCACTGCAGTCCATCAGCTGTAGGTTGACCCACAACGTGGCACCTAGTTAAATGCATTGTGGAAATCCAATCACAATACATCTACAGGGTTTCCTTTATTAACACTGCATGACACTCCCTCAAAAAACTCCAGTATATTGGTTAAAAGCAATTTTCCTTAAAAGGCTCTTTCAAGATCAACTTTGACGTGTTCCCTATGACAGACGTTAAGCTGACTAGTCTATAGCTTCCTGTTTTGCGCCTCCCTCCTTTCTTGAATAAAGGATTAATGTTTGTTACTTTTCAATCTGCTGTAATGTTTCCATAATCTAGCAAATTTTGGAAAATCACAAAAGCATCTACTACCTCATAAGCCACCACTTATATGAAGCCCATATGAACCTAGTGACTTGTCAGCCTGCAGATCCATCAGTTTGCTCAGTATCTCTTTCCTGATGATTGAAATTACACTAAGTTCCTCACTCTAGGAGAACAGACTGTAGAGCACAGAGTCCTGCATCACGAAGCTACTCAGGACAAACTTCAACAAAAACCAATGCATCACTCTCCAGACCTTCTTTGCAAAGGCACATCCCAGAAGGAGATGAGTGACAGTTTCTTCTCCAAAACCCCAACATTGATTCGACATAAGCATGCAGCAGTGCCCACAGATCGGGCGCACGCAGCCCTTCTCACCATGAGCCAAGCAATATCTTGGTGTTTATTGGAAAGTTCTGGCAATGAGGCATTCTGCCAAATTACTTTGATAGTCTGCTCAGAGAACCACCCAACAAGATCAACCTTTTCCTGCAAGGTCTTCAGGGTGCTTTTGTGCTGACCACTGCCTAATGGACTGGTGGTCAAAAGTGCTTTCTACTACAAATTTTTCCACAAGTGTCTTGCCATAGCAAGCCATCTGAGCATATGTTGCCTCTCGTGTTGGGCAGGCCTCATAGATGTGGCCTGCTTCCCCACACAGGTTCCAGTCCTCAGTCAGGTGCCACCACCTCCCCCTTCCCCTATGTACAGAACCTGTGGGAGGGTCACCTTGCAGGCCTGCCATGTGCCCTGACTTCCTGCAGGTTCCGCATATTCTAGGCTACCCCATGTACATCAGGTTCCCTCGGCTCCCTCCAGCTCTGAAGCTGGATGGTGGGTGGAGGGTGTTCCCACTGGTTTCCACTTTCAGGGTCACCTTGTCCTGCCACATGCTTGTCCAGATCCTGAATGGGTACATTATATCAGTGCTGTTGCCTTCCAACTGCACGTACCTTTCCAGGATGGTCAGGACATCTGCTGCTGGGACATTGAGGGGCAGGGAGGGGGGGGCGCGCATACATATGGATGGTAACTAGCCAGGTCCTCTGCCCAATTGGACAAAGCAGTGCTGCACACATGACGAAGAGGGGACTCTCACCCCCTTTTTCTTCAAATATCTTCAGGAGGGAGCATGTACTGTTTCATGCTCTGGAAGGTCACATTAAAATAATCCCTGCTGGAGAAATCCTGAAGACAGTAGATACCTGGACTTTGGAACCCACAGAAATTGAGGAGGATCCACATGAAGAAAGGTCTGATCGCCCAGCATTCCTTCTTCAACTTTCTTCACAGCCACCCTGACTGTGTTTCAGACACCCTAGCAGGGCCTACAGAGGCTTCTAGCTGTCATAGCTCTGGCTGGCTCTTATTCAGCTTGTCTCCAAGCACTCCTAGAACGTATAATTTTAACTGGTTTTCTGCAGATATATTCAAAATAAATGATATTTTGAAGTGCATGAGAACAAAATATTTTCAAATAAATTTGATAACATGGAAGATTCGCAGCAAGATCATAATGTAGGGTAACATCACTGAACTAACAATCCAGAGGCCAAGGTTAAAGCTCTGAAAACAGGTTATCATTGGATCATGATATTAATTGAAATTCAATTAATAAATTAGTTGATTTAAAGTCGGTGTCAGTGATGTCCTGAAAATCACTGCCATAAAAGCCTATTGTTCCTCCTGGCCTGGAGACGCCGACATGCAATTCCAGACCCACAAACAATATGACTGACTACTGAATACCTTCCAAGCCACTCAATTCAATGGCAATTGAGAATGGGAAGAAATGCTAGCTTTACCAGCAACGCTTGCATTCCATAAAAGAAAAAAAAGATTTTCTGCAAAATAAAAAAGTTACCCTTCAATAATGCCTTTCAAAAATGTGACAAAAAATATTTAAACCTGAATGTCGAAGACTGGATCAGTTTTGAGCAGTTTTATTTACTGGCTAAAAAAACTTAGTATATTTAAATTAAAATTTCCCAGCATTTACTTCAGTTGCTGATATTCATCAGGAGATTAATAGCTGTCTGCTCAGCTGCTCAAGACTAAAATAGTTTTTAGATGACAAGGCAGTTGGCACACAGAGCTAAAGAAATAGTTGAGGTGAAAAGCCATTATGCCACAGCAGCACTCTTTGATCACAACGAAAAGTGCAAAGCATAGACTGTTAGGTAGTTAAATTTTTATAAGTTTAACAATCTGCTGCAGATATATAATTTTAGAAGGAATTTTATACATAAAGTTGAGGCCCAAATTTCTTTGCAGAAGGATATAACACTTCATCTATATAGCACCTTTCATAACACAATGATGTTTTAGAACCAATTAATTACTTCTGGTTACTGTTATATAGGATGCAAGCCACTTGCACCATTAAAACAAAAATGACGACAAAGCCGCCAATTCAGACAGAAAATCACGCAGTTGTAGCACACAAAGTCTGCTTGACGGGCTCTGTGGCATAACGATAACGTCCCTATCTCTGGGCTAGAAGATCCAGATTCAAGACCCACCTGCCCCAGAGATGTGTCATAACACGCCAAAACAGGTTGATTTAAAAATAATTGAAAATAAAACTTGACAGTTATATTAATCTTGAACCTTTCAATTTGGAAATCTGTAATTGCATTTTAAATTTTAATCAAGTATTTCAATGATTATTATTTTAAAGGAAAGGAAGTTTTTTATTGATCAAGCAAAATGCAGACACATATTCGTTGCTGTTTCAAACAAATCTAGTTATCAACTTTCATATTCTTTAAGCAGAGAACTGTGGACACTGCAAAATACAACTTTCAGTTAAAAATAAAACTAACCACCAACTTTTATAAGATTGAATTCTGTAAAACATATTCAGCGTAAATATATTCTGAGAGCAAACCATTAACAGCAAATCAAAACCTTTACTAATTTTGATAAATTACAATGCAGTATAATCCCAACAAGCATTGCAAAGTGAAAACACATTACAAATAATGACAAAAATACCACATACTAATGATATTACAATGAAAAGATGAAAAGTCATCAACCTGACATGTCAAATGTTTCCTGCTCTATAAAGGCCTTCTGAGTAGCTGAGTATTTCCTGCATTTTGTGATTTTATTTCAAATTTCCAGAATCTATTTATTTTCTTTTCCATACTATTGCCTTTCACAAAAATACATAACTGGACAGCATACGTTGCACCACATACATACCAAGCACCATAATAAAGTTTAACTGAGAAGTGCATAAAAATCTTACAGTTTCATGAGGATGACTTGCTGAAAAGTTGGCACAACTGGGTGTTCAATACAAAAGAACAAATCTGTTCCCAACTAAAACTGAATAACAAGAAAGTGTACAAATATTCCGAAGACTTTCAGACAAGGACATTGAACATTTGTAATTCCCAGTACGCTTTACGCTTCAAACAGTCCATTAATAGTACCTAGTCATGAAAAAAAATCCACAACTGAAAGAACACAAACTAAGGCAATAACTAGTCTGCACTGGCACTTCTCATAGAAATGCAATGGGGATAACTTGCTTCTACCCACACTGTCCATCTCTATTTGTCAATGACATCTCTCTTTTAGGAATCCACATAAAAGGGCAACAAGGCTTTTAATCCTGCAACTCATACTCACGATTACTTGTGATCAATATAACTGCATATTACCCTTCCCCCACCCCTCCACACACAATGTTAAGCTGCTCGATTCTCCTTTAAAGAACCATGGAGTTTTCTGTACTGCCTTTGCTAATGACACATCCTTTGAGCTAATAACCCATTCTGTCTTACTGACTCAGCAAGTAGCAATGAAAATTGTTTTGAGAAGGCAAATCTATCATAACTTTGAATATTTCAACCAGATTTCCTATAGATCTTTGCTTTTTAGTGAAAAAAAAATCATGATTGTTCTTTATTCATATCAAAAGTGGTCAGTTAGTATGACATTC